GCTGCCCGGCCGCTCCACACGGCCCTGCCAGCATGATCAGATGCCTCCAGCTGCCCCCTTCGTCCTTGCTCTGGCTCCCCGCATTAGCAGCGCGCTGCCTCATTCCTCACCCTCCACGTTTATACAGCTAAACACTTCGATGAAATGCCCATAGGCTGCAACCAGGATATTAACCTTAACCCTCTCATTAGGAAACTGCAAAGGTTGAGCTACAGAAATCCCAGGAATGTTTTCCCATGTTGCTGTCGCAGCAGAGGCAGTGGCCTTCCTTGGGGCCTGGGTCTCCACTCGGAGGATTTCAGGAACCAGAGCAAATGATCTCCAGATTAAAAATACTGCTTTGTTCAGGATGTTCTCTGATCGATGATGAAATGGTGGTGGGTTATTTCATTGCTAGCATGCCAGACTTTTCTTTGCACACACGCAATAGGAATATTCCTTTACTGCCCCGATGATGGACACTTTCATCCCCCTTGTACAGTAACAACTCCGTACCAAAGGGCGAATTTCTTCATTGCTGATACATTTAACTAGTCCTGCCTGCAGCCCTGTGGTCAGTAGGTTATTCATGGCTGCTGTGGGCTTCTCCTCTTTATTATCAGCCTTTTCTAAGTGATATTTTACTTGCTGCCATCTGCTTCTCCATTTTTTCCTTTAGCTTAATAGCTGTGTTTGGGAATACACACTTTAAGCAAAGTCACGCTCTTACAGGAGATCTCTGTGCACACGGCAAAGTGGTTTTAGAGAGTCCCTCGTCCAGGGAGCTCAGCAGCATCCAGCCCCAGGGCAGTGCCCATCTCTACACTTCCAGTGTTGATATCCCATGCATGATGATATCCTGGACACAACGATATCTCTGCCCAGGTGACATCCTGTTCCCTGCAGTCTGGACCCAACAATCTTGCACTTGCACATGGTCCTCTTCTCCGGGTCGGTCGGTGTCCGAGTGCTCAAGATGCATCACGATCCCGCTCCGCTGGCTGGGACCTGCCTTGAAATCAGGTGCGGATCCAAAACGGATAAAAGGAAATATTTTTTCACTCCCTGCTTAATTAGGCTGCCACAGGAAAACATCCCAGCCAAAATTTAGCAGGATTCAAGGAGGTATTGGACATTTATGTGGATAACAAAAATATCCAGCTATAATAGCGGGTGCCAACACAAATTCTGGAAGGGATATTGAGCCTCACGCGTCAGGGTGTAAACCTATCCCAAACTTTCAGAAAGTGGGAAGCTTAATGTAGGAGCGGGTGACCCACGTGTGCTACTGCTACTGCAAGAGCATCCCTGGCTGAGCTGCGCTTGGACCGTCCCTGGGGTCCTATTTCCTGCTGCCGGCAGCCACTTCTGAAGAGGGCTGCAAATTTCTCTTGGCAATTCAGCATTCACCTCAAGGCGCCCAGGGATGCGTGGCCACGGCTCCTTGCCTCCTGGCCCCTTGCAACACTCCTGTCCTGTTTCTGCGGCCACTCTGGCCATTGGCTGAAAACCGTATCCCTTTGCTGCGGATGGGGCCAGTCTGGGAAAGGGATTTCCTTAGGGCTGGTGACAGGATGGTGGTAGTGCTGTGTGCTGTGTCTCCCAGCACTCTGTGGTCTTCACATGACTTTACAGCCAGGTTCTTGTTTCCTTCTACGGTCAATGGTCCAAACCTACGTTCACTCCCTGGTTTCTCACCTGTCTGTTGCATCCTGCACACCTTGCCTTGCCTATGGCTTTTGCAGGATTTAGTCTTGCGTTCCCGGGGTGGCTCAGCTCCGGCTGCACTTGGCCGCTGCCGTGTTCACAGGCTGGGCTGCAAGACCCAGAGGGCTTGGTAGCCTGGTGAGGTCCTTCCTCACCCGCCCCATGACATGGGCATCGCCATACAACCCCCTCTCATCCTCAGGAACCAGCTGTTGTCCCTTAGCCTGTGCAGGGCTGTGAGCCTGGCCTGGCTGGAGAGGCCAAGCCATCCCAGCAGCGAGGACACCCACGGGCTCTGCTCGGAGAAGGGCAAACCAGGTGCTCCTCACACCTCAAGGCAGGCCCACCAGGGCTGTGCCGCTGTATCCCGTGGTGGTGGATGTGCTAGTGGCCACGAGCCCCGGAATGGCCGCATGGCTCTGTGACGCAGCAGTCCAGGTGCCACATGTCCTGCTGTCACAGGGCAGGTTGAAGAGTGACTGTGTTACACTACTGAGGGACAGTTTTCTTGCTCTTGCACCAGGCAACCCGGCTACAGCTGGGCTGGAGCATCCAACATGATGCCTCCCCAGCACATCGTTCGGGCCCGGCAAGGCAAGATGCTCCCGTGATCTCTGCTGTTTTGATGGATTAGAGAGGGCTCAGTGTGACCAAGAGGGGACTCCAATGCTTTGCTCCTGGTGCCGTGCCAAGGGCTCCAATGCACACAGCTGCTGCGCCTGTGACCCTGCCGAGGGCAACCCCGCTGGGGTCCCTTGGATCTCCCCTCACCACGGAGCCTTGCGCCCACAGGGGCTTCCAACTGGAGACATTTCTGGAGGGCATGAATCAGCTTTTCACAGCTTGTTAAAAATCTTGATCCTACCTCTTGTTTTCATGCCTTTCAAATCAGGAAATGAGTTTTACAACTTTTCCAGTGGGGCACAGCTGGTGGCCAGGGTCGTAAAGCTGAACTTTATAAATATCGCTTCTTGGGATCAGAGGAAGAGCATTAAAAAGGCAGAGAGAGAAAGAGAGAGAGAGAGAAAGAGGGGAAAGGAGCAAAGGGAAGAGAGAGGGAAGGCAATCTCAGCAGGACCGTGAAGAAGCCCAGCTCATCAACGGCCATGGCCACGAGAGCGCAGAAGACGGCATGTGTCTGGGGAAGGCTTTGCCTGCTGCTCTCCCTGCTCCTCCAGCTGCCGGGCTCCCAGGCCAAATGCTACTTCCAGGCTAAGGGTAAGCAGCCTGGGGAGGCGAGCCGGGAACGTGGGATGCTGAGGCGAGACTTTCCCCGAATTCTCGGGTGGTGGGGCCGTCCCTTGCAGCACTATGGGCTGTGCTGTGCTCGGAAGCGTGCGCCAGACTGGCGATGGCTGGAAGGAGCAGTCTATAAATCACAGAACAGCTCCCCAGGGCTCTGGCTGAGAAACTGCTCGCTGGGCCATGGAGAGCTCCTGGCAGGAGCCCG